TTGCTCAGGACAGATGCCTAGGAGTGGCATGGCTGGGTCACAGGGGAGGTCTATATGTAGCTTTCTGAGGTACCTCCAGACTACTTTCCAAAGTGGTTGTATTAGAAAACTGTGCCTTAACACACACACACACAAACACACACACACATTCATGCATGCCTGAGAAAGTTGGGCTGGATTTGGACATCCATTCTAGCACTTGTTAACTCTGACCTATTTGACTGTATTTCCCAAATGTAGGTCATGAGGCTTGTAAGTTCCTAGGTGATGTACTATTGTACAAAAGTGTCTGGGTAGTGTGAACTGTCTTTCATGGAGACCTCATGAGCTAGTTACAGTTGAGAGCAAAGCTGGGGTTCTATATGGGGAGTAAGGGTAACACGGCTCCCTTCTCTCTCCACCAGGTTTGCAGAGACAGGACTGTGTGTGTGAATTGTGCTGGGCAGCAGCTCAGCAGTGCGTGCACAGCTTATCAGGTTGTGTAATAGAAATCTGGTGCAATCTTCTGAACCAAGGCAAAAGTTCAGAAGCTGTGTGCCAGGGACTCTGGTTTCTTGATGGGTCAAGGCTCCAAGGTGGTTTTTGTTGGTGGCCCAAGTCAGTTAGCCTTCCCCTAGCACATTTTCCTTGGCCTTGCCCCAATGGAAATAAGTTGAGCAGTGACTTTGTCAGTCTAAACGGGAAAGGAACTATGGTGTGAACTACAAACACTCTGTACCATCAACCTACAACAATTCTTCCTATTGCTTTAGATGGACAGTGATTGCTTGAGACAGAGTACAGAGAGTAAACAGAAAAACAAACTTTACTCCCAGCAAAAAGGGGAAATGTTGGCATTATATAATCTTGCCTTATTCCATATGACCTTGTGTGACCTTGAGAAGCCATTCTGGGTCTCAGTTTTGCCATCTGAGATGTGGGAAAGTATTTTTACTTTTGAGACTGTGATGGTGATTAGCGTATTTAATGAGTTCATCACATCACTGACCATGGCAAGTGCTCAGAGGCAAACAGTTACAAGGCACTGTTATGATGCTGACCAGATACACTTCAGATACATTCTTGCTGACAATCTAGGTCTGATTCTAGAATGCCCAATTGGTGTGTGTGTGTGTGTGTGTGTGTGTGTGTGTGTGTGTGTACATGCATGTGTGCACACATGCATGCATGTATTATGAGAAATGAAGTACTTAATTGTAGCTGTGGTGACAGGCACATGCTTCCACACCAAACTTTGTATCTGTTGACATGGAATCAAAGACTTTCTGTTGAGGGCCAGCCTGGAATCACAGTCTTCCGAATGTTAGCCACCCATGTGGCTGATGACAGCTGTGTCTCAGCTAAAGGTTGAGAATGGGTCTTGTTTGTATGCTAGGCTCATCTTGAACTGTGATCCTCTAGCTCTCAATGGCTGGGGCCTGGATGAACTTGACATTTTTATCAGTTTTTTAGCTAGCAGATTATTTGTAAATCATTGAATATTTTGATTAAATCTATTTGTGGAGCTCCAAGTGAAGCAACATACTATTTAAATCTTATGCATAGCCAGGCACTGGTGGCTCACGCCACTCAAGAGGCTGAGATCGGGGCTGGGAAGGTGGCTCAGTGGTAGAGTGCTTGCCTTGAGCTGAAGAGCTGAGGGACAGTGCCCAGGCCGAGTTCAGGCCCCACGACCGGACCCAAAAAAAAAAAAGAGGCTGAGATCTAATGATTACAGTTCAAAGCCAGCCTGGGCAGGAAAGTCTGTGAGGCTCTTATCTCCAATAAACTACCAGAAAACCAGAAGTGGCACTGTGGCTCAAGTGGTAGAGTGCTAGTCTTGAGCTGAAGAGCTGAGGGACAGCGCCCAGACCCAGAGTTCAAGTCCGATGACTGATAAACAAACAAATAAACAAAACTTATGTGCCTAGTACCTAACTAAGCATGATAGGAAATATAACAAAGGAGCCTTTTCTCATAAGTATTTTTCAAGCTGATTGGAAAATAAAGCATAGAGGTGTGTGTGTGTGTGTGTGTGTGTGTGTGTGTGTGTGTGTGTGTGTTGCTGTATCATAGGCCACAAGTACTGGCTATCAACCCAGGAATTTCCTAGGACTTCTATCTATCAGAGTGGATGTGGTAAATTTGTGTTAAAGCAGCCCTGGATCTCTCTTTACAGCAGCTACAAGACTCCCCTGTGATCCAGCAATCCCACTCCTGGGCATTGACGCAAATGACCACAAACAAGGCCATACTAAAGCTACCACCACAAACATGTTCATTGAAGCATTTTTTTATCATAGATAAGCTATGAAACCAATCCAGATGCCCCTCAGTAGATGGATCAATCAAGCAGATATGGCATATATACACAATGGAGTTCTATACTTCCATCAGAAAGAATGACATTACCCCATTTGTAAGGAAAGACTTAGAAAAAATTATATTAAGTAAGCCAGACCCAAAGAAAAGTAGGTTGTGTGATTTCCCTCATTTGTTTTATTTTATTTTATTTGTGAACATACTGTACAGAGGGGTTACAATTACATGGGCAGGATAATGCGTACAGATTTCCCTCATTTGTAAGAACTAGAATATGTCTATGATATTCTTAACAAGGCATCTCAATAACCCAATAGCTTAGTGCATAGGAGCATATATAATGAAGTATATCAATATGAACTCCAACACATGGAAACAAGAGGTTTTTATTATGTCCTGTATGTAGTTTTTTTTTTCACCTCTTAGTTTTCTGTACCTCTGTCTGGTATATGAGATGATTTGATATGTGGAAGGGAAAGGTAGTCACAGAAACAGCAAGACAAAGGATGAACCAATGCAACACTGATACTCACTTGACATTATGTTGGATGTGAACCATACAACTTGCAGGGGGAGGGAATAGGAAAGGGTAACCAGGAGATAATGAGGGGTGGGGGTAACAATGATGAAAAACAAATGTACTCATTACCTTACTTAAGTAACTGTAACTCCTCTGCTCATCACCTTTTCAATATGTCAGTCCTAGAGCTTGAATTCTGGGCCTGGGTGCTGTCTCTTAGCTTTTTTGATCAAGGCTGGTGTGAGCCATTGCTCAACTTTTGACTGACTGACTGTGTGTGTGTGTGTGTGTGTGTGTGTGTGTGTGTGTGTGGTTAATTGGAAATGAGTCTTATGGACTACACTGGTCTTGAACTGTGATCCTTGGATTGCAGCCTCTGAGTAGCTTGCCACTGGCATCCAGCTTTCTATGGTTTGACCTCAGGACACTGTGCTTGTTAGGCAAGTGCTGTAACACTTGAGCCACACTCTCCAGCTCTTTTAAAAACAGAGTCTTGCATTTATGCCCAGACAGACCTTTCATCCTTTTATGCTTCCTGTCATAGCCAGGATGACAGGTGTGAGTCACTGTGCCCAGCAATGGTGCCTTTTTCAAATCATTTAATGGTAAAGATCCACCACAAGCAGTGTCTCTGACTCAGTCAGAGACTAGTCTTTGCCCAGAAAGAGGAAAGTTAAGACTTTTTATGGACTTGTCTTTCTAAGAAACACAGAAAAGATTATATTTAATGATATTTACAGTTTATAACATTATCCACTTATTTAGACATAACAAAGAATAAGCATCTGTGAATATTTTAAGAGATTTAGCCTGGCTTAGTGGTAGCTAAGAATTTTCAATTCTTTGGGAAGCCTGGAACTTGCTTCTAAGTGTCTTGTGACATAGGCCTGAAACCCTTCCTCCATTTTCCCAGAAACTGTTACATGAATGGTTCCTTTGTCCTTAGTTTATCTAGTTTATCCTCAGTTCAAAAACTAGTTGAGGTGCTGGAGGTGCAGCTCAAGAGCAGAGTGCCTGTTTGGCATGCACAAGGCCCTGGTCTCCATCTCCAGCATCAAAATGAAAAGCAAGGTTTGTTGCTACAGTGGCCAAAAGCTGGCTTTTCATTTAATTTCTGAGCTAATCTTATTGTATAAATATGTACATGTGTACATACATGTGTACATGTGTATGTAAATATGTGTTCATGCTCATGTGTACATGAGTATTCATTGTATATATATTTGTAAGAGTGTGTGCATGTGTGTCCTCATGCATGTACTTGTAGGTGCAGTATGCAATTGTGAGTATATATACATGTGTACTGTGTACTTGTGTGTGTACCTAACTCTAACTCTACCTCCTGGCTCTAGAAATTATTTTCTTGGGCTTTTAGCAAATCAGTCCACCCACATTAGCAGAACACAGTCTTTTGGAGGTGCTAGGGATCAAATCCAGAGTCTAAGCATACTAAGCATGCACCTCTTACTGAGCTGCACTCCAAAGCCCTCTTGTTTCTTGTTTTGAATTTGATGCTCTTAATATGCCTTCTCAAACCACTTCAGCAGAGACTTGAAATAGTCTGTCACAATAGGGTAGGAGTGGGTGTGCCTTTTAGTTTGATGAGCTACCTGGAAATATGTGTATGTTTAATTTTTGTGTGTGCCCATACTGGGGCTTGAACTCAGGGTCCCGATGCTGTCCCTTAGTTTTTTTGCTCAAGGCTAGCACGCTACCATTTGAGCCACAGCTCCACTTCTGGCTTTTTGCTGCTTATTGGAGTGAAAAATCTCACTAACTTCTCTGCCCAGTTTGGCTTCGAACTGAGACCCTCAGATCTCAGCTTTCTGAGTAGCATGAGCTGCTGATGCCCAGCTTCTCTGTGAATAACTTCCAGTAATTCCCTACCATTCTGTCTCTTTATTTTAAATGTAGATAATAACATAACATACAGAAGGGTTACAATTACATGGGCAAGGTAATGAGTACATTTCTTATAAAAAAATATGGAACGCTTCATGAATTTGCATGTCATCCTTGCACAGGGGCTATGCTAATCTTCTCTGTATCGTTCCAATTTTAGTATATGTGTTGCCAAAGTGGACACACATGATGTTATTTCTGTGCAGTTCAAACCTCTTAAAAACAACAACAGCAACAAACTAACATCAATGATGATTTCCTCTCTGCTTCCCTCTGCAGGCCCCTGGCATTTATGGGTTCACAGACTAAGAAAGTGCTGCTAACACCCATCACACATGCAGCTCGCCCATTCCGGGTCTCCAACCATGACCGAAGCAGCCGGCGTGGAGTAATGGCCAGCAGCCTGCAGGAACTCATCAATAAGGTACCACATACACAGCCTTCCTGCCAGCCCACAGAGCCACCGTCAACTAGTTCATGCCGAGGTCAGGGGACCCACCCAGTGTCAAGACAGCAAAGTCAAAGAAGGCAACAGATCAGCCTCATCAGTGCCTCTCTTGGCTTCTGGGGTCTGCAGGGAACCATTTCTAAGTGGGTGAAGGAAAGGCCTAAGTTGTTAGGAAACATTACTGGGTCTTGGTACCATAAAAGATTGGCGTTCATACACAAAACACTTTCAAAGCAGTGATCAGTTGAAAAGAATAGCTTTGTTTCTTTGAGGAGGGAGAATTATAAGGACTTGGGAAGACTGTTTTTGATTATAAATGCTAAGACAAAATAGTCCTTAATCTATAACAGTGTCCTTGACCACCAAATAAGGAAGAATCTTTTAGAGTGTCAGAGAAGGATATCTCAGACAGAGATGCCTGTGAAAATGAGAAATGAGCACCCAGCACAACCTCTGAAGCCAGAGACTAGGTGCCTACTAGGCCTAGGTGCTATCCCTGAGGTCTTCAGCTCAAGGCGAGCACTCTACTGCTTCTGGCTTTCTGGTAGTTAATTGGAGATAAGAGTCTTACGGGCTTTCCTGCCTGGGCTGGCTTTGAACCTCCATTCTCAGATCTCAGCCTCCTGAGTAGCTAGGATTACAGGTGTGAACTACCAGCACCCAGCAAGGCTACAGTTCTTAAAGTATGGTGCATGCAGGGTTGTTCTGTTTATTCATCTAAGTATGTAGGCAATCATAGACATTATGAATATTCTCTAGAATACCTAATCTCAGCCTGGGAACGTGGCTTAGTGGTAGAGTGCTTGCCTAGCATGCACGAAGCCCTGGGTTTGATTCCTTACTACCACATAAACAGAAAAAGCCAGAAATGCTGCTGTGGCTCAAGTGGTAGGGTGCTGGTTTTGAGCAAAAGAAGCTCGGGGACAGTGCCTAGACCCTGAGTTCAAGCCCCAGGACTGGAGAAAAAAATCCCGTATCTCTGTTTCTTAGGAAAATAAGTCCAGTAAAGATCCCAGCTAGGATCCAGGTGGCACACACCTGTCATGTTAGCTATGTGGGAGGTTGAAATTAGGAGGATCATGATTCTAGGCCAGCCAGGGCAAAAAAGCCCATGAGACTATTTCAAGTGAGAGAAGTTGGGCATGGTGGTATGAGCCTGTGATCCCAGATATGATTGGAAGCAAAAAAAAAATAGGCAGTTTGACTACCAGATGTACACGCCAGAAGAAAGTAATACCCTAAATCAAAAAACAAAAAAAAAACTAGCGTAAGAGTGGTGGCTCACACCTGTAATCCTAGCTATACAGGAGGCTGAGCTCTAAGGATCACAGTTTGAAGCCAAGCTGGACAGAAAGTCTATGAGACTCTTATCTCCAATTAACCACCAAAAAGCCAAGAGTGGAGTTGTGGCTCAAGTGGTAAAGTTCCAGCCTTAATGAGAAAGCTAAGGGCCAGCTCCCACACACTGAATTCAAGCCCTAGTACTGGCTAAAAATAAAAAAATAGCTGAAGGCACAGCTCAGGAGTAGAGCACCTCTCTATGGAGCATCAGACCCCGAGTTCAAACCCTAGTTTGACCAAAAAAAATCCTTTTTTTTTTAAGTTTCAGCAAAAGCTTATTTCAGTATAATAGGTTAAAGGAAGGAGAAAGAGAAATATTTCTTGCTTCCTATGTAGGAAATGGGAGTTAAAAAACTAAAAATTAAAAAATCTCTCTTTCAAAGACTGCCTTGTAGGTCCCAATCAACAAATATCTTCAGCATTAAACTTTTGCCCCATCAGCCAATATGTCTGCAAACTTTAACTTAACAAATGTTTCAAGTGGGAATATCTCACTTCATTCCAACTTCCTTGCATTGAACACCTAGACGTTGGATGCCCTGGTCATCACGGCTGGCCTGGTTACTCTGGTGCTGGAGGAGGACGGCACTGTGGTGGACACAGAGGAGTACTTTCAGACCTTAGAGGATAACACCCATTTCATGATCTTGGAGAAGGGGCAGAAGTGGACGCCGGTAAGCAACAACTTCCTTATCCAAACAGTACTGGGCAGATTGTGCCCGCGAGGATACACTATCTTGTTGGGAACTGACAGGTACTTCTTCGTTATATACTTTGTACACTCACCAAATAAGCAAATGATTCTTATATTTCTAGAAAACTTGCTGCCTCTGTAGATTTAGGCTCTATAATTGAAAACAAATAATTTTGAGGAACAGGTTCAGCAAGTAACTGCAGATTCTGTTAGCAACAAATGGTGACTAGTCACTGTGCTACTTGTCAGGAGACTAGACAGGTTGACATAGCCAACTCTGTGTGTGTGTGTGTGTGTATGCATGTATGTGTGCATTAGTGTTCTTCACTATAACAAAATACTTGCCCAAATTAAGAAGAAGGAAGTGGCTTTTGGCTTACAGAGATTCCAGATCATGGTCTTTGGTTTTGTTTTTTGGGGGTTTGTGGTGATGTAGCACACCCTGGTGGAAGAAAATGGTGGGGCAAACCTGCTTATATCATGGGCTAAGGAGCAAAACAAGAGTGGAAGAAACGGGATCCCCAATTTCCTTTGTGCCATTTTGGGGATATAAAGTAGTAAGCTATCTTATTATCTGGGCAACAGATCTTTAAAAACAATAGAGTTAGAGCACAGCCTCTGACCGAGGAACTCTACTTCTGGATATGTCTCCTGAAAAACTCAGGCACCTGTACCTCAAAAGACATGTATAAAAGCACTCATGTCACCAGTGTGAGTGACAGTAGTGCTGTCACTCTGGCTATACATCTCTCACCAGAGAATGGAGACACACATACCCTCACACACATACCCTCACCAGTGAACATCTTTGTAGATGTACATAGATACATAAGCTTTTATATATTTATCAGTGAAACACTCAAGTATAGACAGGTGTGAAGTCCGGTTGCAGGCCCCTTACAGTCCATCTAATCCCCTGTGCCAAAGGAGTTGAGCACAAGTTGGATGCTGAACAAGTGGGCCTCAAACCTTTTCATCACAGGATCCTTTATATACTTAAAACTAATGAGGGGAAATAGTGCTATGGCTTAAGTGGTAGAGCACTAGCCTTGAGCTAAAGAGCTGAGGACAGTGCCCAGGCCCAGAGTTCAAGCCCCACGACCACAAAACACACACACACACACACACACACACACACACACACACAAAATAAGGGCTGGGATAATCCTAGCTACTCAGAAGACTGAGCTCTGAGGATCATGGTTCAAAGCCAGCCCAAGCAGGAAAGATTTTGAGGCTTTTATCTCCACTTAACCACTAAAAAGATAGATGTGGAACTGTGGCTCAAGTGGTAGAGTGCTAACCCTGAGTAATGAAGCTCAGGGAGAACATTCAGGTCCTGAGTTCAAGCCCTAGGACTGGCATCAAAACAAAACAACAACACAACAAAAACCCTAATGAAGATCAAGCACCGGTGACTCACATCCTAGCTATTCAGGAGGCTGAGGATCACTGTTCAAAGCCAGATCAGGTAGAAAAATCCACAAGATTTTATTTCCAAATAATCAGCAAAAAAGCCAGACTGAAAGTGTAGCTTAAGTAATATAGCACCAACCATGAGCGAAAACACTGAGAACACAAGGTCCGGAGTTCAAGTCCTATATCGATACAACCAATAACTATTTATCAACCAGAGGAGTTACAGTTACATGAGTAAGGTAATGAGTACATTTCCTCTTCAGCATTGTTACCCCCTCGTTTTTCCCCAGCCAGCCCTTCCTTCCCCACCTCCTCCCTCGCTCCCCCCCACCGAAGATGTAGGGTTTTGTAAAAATGTTTTTTATTGTAAAAAATAGTATGCAGAGGGGTTACAGTTACACGAGTAAGGTAATGAGTATTTTTCCTATCGAGCATTGTTACCTCTTCCTTTGTTTTTCCCCTACCATTCCTTCCCTCCCCCCTTCCCCCCCAAGTTGTAAAGTTCATTTTCAACATAGTGTCTTGTACATGTCATTGTTGCAATAGGTCAACCTGTATCCTTGTTTCAGCAACTTGTTTTTTCTTTCTTGCTATTTTTTAAATGTATCTAAAATGTACTGTGTGATTT